TGCTTCAATGGACCAATTACAGAAATCCCCCTCTCGCTACTGATTACTTTCAAACTAAACAAACAAACAAACAAACAAACAAACAAACAAACAAACAAACAAAGCAGTGTAGTAGAGTAGAACGTACAGATACTTAATGCAAAATGTAGTGGAGTAAAAGTAAAAAGTACCCATTATGAAATCTACTTAAGTAAATTACAGATACATGAAAAATGTACTTAAGTACAGCAACAAAGTACTTGTACTTAGTTACATCCCACCACAATTTTAAAATTACTTTATTGATGCTTCTTTAATGAAAAATCTACATCAAACAAAAGAAAAAGACAAAGAAGCAGCCGAACTAGCAATCCTCAACAACTTTTTAATTTTTACACCAGGAGCTAAAGGTCTGTTTCAGGAACTCACATCCCCAACAATCATTGATTGTAGGAATAAGCTATAAAAGAGTTCATACACCGCTAGTTGGCAGTGTTGTGCATATATTGTACATGAATTATTGCCAGCTATTAAGTGTCAAATTGAACTTGTGCTTTAAAATTAGCTTGTGCTAGTTTTTCTATGGCGTCAACGCTTTTGAGCTTGGGGACTTAATTATTTACGTAAGCACTTTAGAAATAGCAGAGCTAATAATTGGATTAGCGCTGCCCACCACTGGTTATGAGTAGAGATGTAGATTACCCAGAAGATTTATTCAAGCAAGAGCAGCACTACTTAAGCATACTTTTTCTCAAGCAAAAGTAAAAATTAGCTGTCAAAGAAATTAATCAAGTAAGAGTAAAAACATTTTGTGTAAAGACTAGTGAGCACTGAGTAAACTGATCATAACGTCTGATTTATTAATTTAAAATGATGTCATCCGACTGACAGAAGATCGAAAGTTCTGTGCGAATTGTGTTGTTTTTTAAAGATTCCAAATTCCAGCAGCAGAAATACTTTTCCAAGTCAAAAATTTCTCATTATGAAACTAATTTGTATGTATACATTACAGAACAGGGTGTAGTACTTCCCGTGATTACATCTACTGTGTACCATATTTTCATTTGATTTCCAAATGCCTCAGCAGGCTCGGCAGATAGAAAATAGCATTAAACTCGTTTACAAACAAGAGGTCTCTGTTCAACATGAACTGTAGGTGTCTCCCTGATGCATTTCTGGTGAAATTATTTTTGTTCTTCATTCAGTGAAGTTACTTTATGTGGGTAGAGTATTCAGAAATACTTCATAATAATATTACTCAGGTAAAGTAAGAAGTACAATGTAGTAAATCTACTCCTAAAAGTAAATTTTCCCCAAAAGCCACGCAAGTAAATGTAACTGGCTAAAAGTTATGACCCACCTCTGGGTATGAATAAGTTTGTTTTCACATCTGAGAGTCCGGTAGACTCAGTTTAATTGGGGACCAAAATTAGAAGACTTGTTTACATTTTCAGTTGGTGCAGTTTGTGCTCACACTGCTCCGAGTCAAACTGTGAACAACCTGTTCCCCACCTTGCCTGTAGGGGCGCTGCACCATGAACCACTGAAGGAATTAACACAAAAGCCTCAGAAGAAGACACAGAGCACAACTTCCTTCTTCACAAAATGTAAACAAACATGGAGTGATGTCAAATTTTTTTTGTTTGTAGAATTTTTTATTACTAGTGTAATGGAACTAATACTTTAATGTTTAAGCTTCATGACATCCTTTAATGACCTAGGTTTTCATGACATGCTGTTCATCTGCAGAAAGAATGATTAAAGTCAGAACAAGATTTGCCAACAACAGTCATTCTTAGATATCACTTGTGTTTATCTTTGTGTTTTCCATTTACCTTGTATCAAATCTTGCTAAGATGAAATAATGGTGTATGAGGCCTCTCGAGACACAGTGTACAACAGTAGTGTGGAGAGACAGTGACAGAGAGAAGCAGAGGCACAGAGACAGGACAGGTTGTTCTCTGTGTTTCCTGTTGTTGCAATAAAACTCAGCTGATCATCTCACAGAGTACCTTCATTCTTGGACCACGTATTTCTGTCTTTGTTAAATAATCCAGCTAACAGTTTGGCGTTGTCAGGCAAGAGACCAGTAGGAGATCGACGGAACAAGGCCACATTGCAGGTGGACTGATATGAGTGAGCAAGGACTGGACTGCTCAGGACCGTGACTCCAGCTGGATGAAAATAACCTTTTTATGGTAAATTGTTTCAACAACAGAGATACGCTAGTGACGATTAAAGGATGTCATGAATAACTAGCTTAAACATAAAAGTAGTAGGTCCATTACACTCCCCCTCTTATCAAACAAGAGAGGTCAATCCCTCGCTGGAGTCCTGTAGTCTGGACCAAAACAGATAACAGACGAAAACTGGTTATTAGAAGATATGGTTACTGGACAGTGTCAAGGTAGAACAGATATACCTAAATAATCCATAACAACTATTGTTATTTTGTTTTTTGCAAATGTGCCTAACAAATAGTTTTCAACAATGGGCTCAGCATGAGAGGAAGATGAAGCGGAGAGAATTTTATTGGGGAGGAGCCCAGTTTTCTTCTGATTGTGTCGATTCCTTCAGTGGGTCTTTGTGCAGCACCACCACAGGTGAGGGGGGGAACAGCTTGTTCACAGGGTTTAGTTTGTTTGACAAAGTGCAGCGTGAATACGAACCACGTTAACTGAAAGTGTTAACAAATCTTGCAATTTTGGTCCCCAATCGAACCGAGTCTATCAGACGATCAGGTGTGAATACGACCTTAAACTGTGTAGAAGAACAGAGGTTGTTTTTTTCCTGTCTGATGAGAAACAGAGTGACGGCTCCTGGCGAGTGAAAGGAGCAGTTTTATCCTCCAGGTGTAATGGAGGAACCAGGGGATGGCCATTGTTTTAACAGTAACTTTACTTACACCTGCAGCCATGTACCAAAATGAAATTCAGCACATTATTTAAAGTTTTTCAGCTCACAAGGTTTATATCTTTACATACTGTACATGATGGCAGACATCTTGGATTTGGATGTGACTACCAATTTGTGATAGGGGCCATTTTTACACCTAGATGATGTACGGACAGTATTTTATAATTCACTATTTGGCTCTGTGATGGGACTGAAAAAATAAAATAAAAAAGCTGTTTACTGAAAAACACTCACCGACAAAAAACATGAAGCAATCAGATGGAGATGGAAATAAAACTGCTTATGTTGAAAGGTGACGTGACAGTGTCCTGATGCATCCCAGTAATCCAGGTAGAAAAAAAAAACAAAAAGAAAAACAAGTAGGTTCTCTGGATGGGTTCTTATTTAGTGAAACGTTTCGTCTCTCCTCCAAGAGACTTCTTCAGTCTGATGAGTTTCAGGTGAACTCAGCTTTATAAGCACTGCCTCCACATGGACAAACAGGTTAGTCACATGCAAAAGAGGATCATTGCCTAACAATAGGCTTGATTAGTTCTATTGTTCATAGAGGGCCCTGTGCCCCATCACCTGACCCGTGTCGTGTTATGTGAATGCAGTGAATGCAAGCGGGGGTTCAATGTCCCCTTGTTTTTGTCCCTCTTTCCCTCTTTGTGTTGGTATCATTGGGGCCCTGATTCACATCTTTTGCTCACAGGGGGCGGAGTCATACTTGCAATAACAGCGTTGTAGGAGGAGGACAACTGGACACGAAGGCCTCCACCTCTGTTTAATGGTGGACGGTTTTTCATCACAAAGATGCTTCCTTTACTCCTCTCTCAAACCAGCGTTCCTCTCTAACAGGATGAGAACATCTTCATCCCTGAAAGAGTGACCGCTGGCCTGTAGATGAGAGTAAACTGCAGAGTCCTGACCTGATGATGTAGCTCATCTGTGCTGGCTCATTCTTTTGAACAGTGGCTGTTTTGTTTCTCCAATGTATAACTGATCACAGCCCTCCTGACACTTAACAGCATACACTATATTACTCTGCTTTTGCCGGGCAGACACTGTCCCCACAAACACAGGAGTCAGGGAAAAAGAGAAGTCACACACAAGACAGGCCCTGGAGCAGTGCAGTTATCCTGACTGGGCTTTTCTGAAAGCAGACAAGACACCCAAACAAGATTCCAGCTAATAACCAGCTGAAAATGAAGACCCTAAACCCAGACCCAAACAGTTGTCATTCCATATGTGGCGGGAGTTTCAGAGAAACTGAGATGTTTATTCTCTAAACATGACGTCCCAGTGGCTTTCAAACCCCAAAAACACGTTACGACAAAGATTAGTTCACCTCAAAGATCCAGTTCCCCGGCACAAACAGAGTAATATAGTGTATGCTGTTAAGTGTCAGGAGGGCTGTGATCAGTTATACACTGGGGAAACAAAACAGCCACTGTTCAAAAGAATGAGCCAACACAGATGAGCTACATCATCAGGCCAGGACTCTGCAGTTTACACTCATCTACAGGCCAGCGGTCACTCTTTCAGAGATGAGGATGTTCTCATTCTTGACAGAGAGGAACGCTGGTTTGAGAGAGGAGTAAAGGAAGCATCTTTGTGAAGAAAAACCATCCACCATTAAACGGAGGTGGAGGCCTTCGTGTCCAGTTGTCCTCCTCCTACAATGCTGTCATTGCAAGTATGACTCCGCCCACTGTGAGCAAAAGGTGTGAATCAGGGCCCCAATGATACCAACACAAAGAGGGAAAGAGGGACAAAAACAAGGGGACGTTGAACCCCCGCTTGCATTCACTACATTCACATAACACAACACGGGTCAGGTGATGGGGCACATGACCCTCTATGAACAATAGGGCCAATCAAGCCTATTGTTAGTCGATGGCCCTCTTTTGCATGTGACTAACCTGTTTGTCCATGTGGAGGCAGTGCTTATAAAGCTGAGTTCACCTGAAACTCTCAGACTGAAGAAGTCTCTTGGAGGAGAGACGAAATGTTTCACTAAAGAAGAACCCATCCAGAGGACCTACTGATTTTTCTTTTTGGTGATGTGACTGTGTTCCAGTCATTATAATATCAGATCAGATGGAGAACAGAATTAGCAGTACAGATACATGTGCTACCTGGACCTGAACCTCCAGGTCCAGCATATCAGCACTGGGTTTATGTCAGGGCTGGACTATAGGGTTCTGTCCCAGTAGAGGAGAGACATTCAGACACAAGACATCTGTGATGTTTGATGCACAAAATGCCAGTCTTGTGTGGTGTGGTCTGTCTCAGAAGACCAGAACCTTCAGCACATGTATGGCTTTCCTCATGTACCTATTTCTTCCAACACTGGGACTCTTTGTATTTATTACACCCAGCAGCTGAAAACAAACAATGTGACCGCTACCAAACTGTCTGATGAATCTAAGATCCATCCTCTCTGCCGACCTCCATTTGCTGATTTAACTGATTATCGGATGCCACAGCAACTACCTGATAACCCTGCCACCTCACTTATAAAACCACTGCTCACTGATGACAGCTCATTGTAAATCAAACCTGTCACTTCATGTGCACCAGATTTAAACTAAATTAGACCATTTCTTTTGACTTCTGGGCTTTTATTCATCAGTGAGTGTACTAACTGTGATGTATCATGACACTAATCCACAAACATTGACAGGCCTCACCCATCTTTGTAGTTGATGACCATATCTACCAGAGTGTTCAGTGTTCTTGTGAGTTCAGGCGGATTTGGGGGCAGTTTCTCAGCTGGTGGGCGTCCTCGTTTCCTTTTGACCTTTTCTCCGGTTTCTTGCCCTGCCTGCAGCTCTTTCTCCCCATTATGTTCACCTTTAGGCTTCTTCAGGCTGATATCCTCTTCCATGTCCTTTGGGAAATGGTTGTTTTCTGCCTCAGGCTGCAGGGAGAGGGAGCAGTGGGCAGGGGAATCTAAAAAAAACTCAAACAAAATGCACAGAGATAAGGTGATGGAGTTGATGCTGCAAAGATTGTACACTCATAACCTGTACTGTTGTCCTGACTTTGTGCAGTTCATTACTGTCCACCTGTGAAGGAGAACAGGCGAGTGTGCTTTTACCATTGGTGGACACCAGCCCGCTAAAACACAAATCCGCTAATTGTGGACCTAAATATTTTGTTTGCGCTTTAGCGGTCTTACTAATTTTTATAATTTATAAGTGGATTTGATATTTCTAAAATTAAAATGCAGTACCGCTAATTACTAATTATCTACCAGTCATCATTATCTTGAACAGAAGACAGTGTGACTGTCAATGAATCACCACATGATCTATCCAACAGCACCCCTCCCAGATATACTCACTATTGGAAACGTATACATCCTGCTGACTGTTGCTTTTGGTCACGGTTCTGATTTCCCACAATGCTTTGTGTCTGCTTACATAGCGGGAAGGCAGTGGTTAGAACTCCCTGTCCCAGTAAAAACAGTTAACTTTTGGAATCCATACTAAAATTTTTTATGTATTGATTTATTTTACTTTACAATCAGAGCTCCTTTTTTAAAAATAAAGTTTAAACGCTGGAGCTCAATTCTTGACGTAATTGGTCGAAGCAATTGACCAACGGGGTTAGAGACTCAGAAATGATTTAAAGATGTTATGCTGATGAAGACTGACATCTAGTGGTCAACTGGAGCAACTACATGGAAAACTTTAAAATCCAAGCTCTTATTTTGAAGGGAAGATAGTTTCCTGTACGCCGTGCTTTCGTTTCCCATCACAAATCAAATCCGTCATGTACCCAGAATGCATCGCTTCAGTTTTCCAATAAACAGTTTTAAAATTACTTTATTGATGCTTCTTTAATGAAAAATCTACATCAAACAAAAGAAAAAGACAAAGAAGCAGCCGAACTAGCAATCCTCAACAACTTTTTAATTTTTACACCAGGAGCTAAAGGTCTGTTTCAGGAAATCACTTCCCCAGCAATCGGCTGTTGTAGGATTAAGCTGTAAAAGAGTTCATACACCGCTAGTTGGCAGTGTTGTACAGATATTGAACATGAATTATTGTCAGCTAGTAAATGTCAAATTGAACTTGTGCTTTAAAAATTGCTTCTGCTAGTTTTTCTATGGCATAAGCACTTTTGAAGGTGTGGACCTAAATATTTTCACAAGTGTGTTAGAAATTGTGGAGTTAATTTTTGGATTAATGCTGACTACCACTGGCTTTTACTAATATTAGTCTCTGTGCATGTGTTTATGTTTGCTGTGTTAGCAAAATATATAATGAATCACTAAACAGAGTTTTATGAAACTCTCAGAAATAATCATTGAAAGAACAGCTTTTGAGGTCAAACCATTCAAGATGATTGTCAAAGCTAATTGACTTTAGAAAACAGAGAAGACACAACTCAGTCAGATTTTTGGAAATTGAGCTAAACCCTGGTGTGGTAGTAGCTGAGAGTCATACCAAACTCATATACTGACTTCTAGTTGACTGCTTTATAAATGTTTTTAAAACTGTACCAACACCTATAACTGTGAATGCTGCCTGTTATTAAAATATCTCATGAGCTAGTGGCCCAGTTTTGATGAAATTTTCAGGAAGTAGTTACTGGATGTTAATCTACAATTAATAACTTTTTAAAGTTAATCCGAATTAAGGTAGCAGACAACAGACCTGAGTAGCACAGAAAATAGTCACGATTTTGCAAATTCTACAAATATGAAACTAAAATTTGGTGGGGTGGTGGCTGAGAAACGTTAACAACACAACCTCTGAGTGCTATGAGTTATACCTTTTTTGCTAATACTTTGGGATTACATTTAGGCATTAATTTCTTTATTATGTAAGCAAAATAACTAATAAACCAGGGGTTCTTAACCTTTTTGACCTCGGGGCCCAATTTGTTGAACATAAAGTGACACGAGGCCCAGTCACACATTACCAATGTATGGATCAAAATGATAATTATTCAAAATCTTGGCTTGATTTGTATTGTATTTACATTATAACTAAATTAAATACACGTACAGTATAAAAGTAAAACTTCTATCAAACAATCACCAGACATGATTATGACAAACATTTTTATATTGTAACCTGTCCGTAACAGTCAACAGACCACTCAGGCTTATCAGCACAAAAATAACTTATTTCTAAACATAAACCATAACAAAATTAGACAATTAAATAAATAAAATTGTGGTCATAAAATAAATACATTCAAAATGTTCAATCTTTCAAATAAAACTGTAAAAAATAAATTTGATAAAGTGAAAATGAAAATATAGTCTTTTTAAACTTTTGCATGCTAACCAGAAGCTGCTCTTCATATTAGTGACAAACAGTAACAGTAACAACAGCTTTTTTAAAGTTTCTTTACAATACATTCAAAACGTTTAAGAATAAACTACAAAACCTAATTTGATAAGGTGCAAAGATAAATATAGCTGTATCTGCAAATGTATTTGATAATGTTTTGAACTTTTAAAATATTGCATGGAAGAACCAGAAGCTGCTCTTCATATTAGTGAAAAAACTTTGGCTTTTTTTGATGAGTTACTTTCATTTTTGTTTCTACTTTTCATTTAAAATAAGTTTCCATTCTCAGCAGGTTTCTAAGGTTCTTTTTCTACATATTAAAAAAGTTGTTAAACATCTGAGTGGTGCACTACTGCTACTAGTGGTGAGAAAGTGTATTGCACCTTATTCAAAATCAATGCGGTCCCACGGCCCTCTGCGGCCCAAAGTTAAAAACTGTTGTTCTTTTGAGGCCCACAGTTGGGCCGCAGCCCATAGGTTAAGAATCTCTGTAATAAACCACTTAAAAACAACTCATTAAATGTACATTGACATCTGGCTAACTTTTGGAGTCAATCAAATTCAAGATGGCCACTCCATCATTTTTCATCACAAGATACCCTTAGTTTGAAACTCTGATATGAAAGGCAGGGCAGTACACAATCTTTCCACACATCCTTCCCCTTTAATATATTTACAATTCTTATAACAGGTAAAGGATTTAATCGAGTCCGTTTCTGTTTCACCTTCATGTTGTAGCTTTTGGACTGCACGTTTTTCTATATGCAGCTTATTTTTAAAGACTGAAGAATCTTAAGTAACAGATTTAAAGTTTAAAAGCCTGAAATTAAAACACTCCAAGTCTCCATTTTTGCTGGCATTCAAGTGACTAAAATCCCAGTGTAAGGTTGGCTTTTCAAACGAAACGTGATTATTTATTTATTGCTTTCAAATCCGAATTAACAGTGAGCAACAGCAGCTGTGCAAATCCAGGACAAATTATTTTGTCAGCAGGCTTCGATGCCAAGAGATTATTGTTTCACAATGAAACGTGAAGACGCTCTGCTACAGCACAGAGACATGCTGGAATGCAATAAAGAATCAGCCGGGCTGGATTTGCAGGCGTTCTCTGCTTCATGCTAGCAATGGCACAGAAATGCAAATTCGGGTGTGTGGTGTTTGTCAGTGAGTGATTTTCAGTCATGTTGGTGCTGCTTTATGAATATCTGCCACAACCGCTGTATTTTTTCACAAAGGCAATTAGAGGCCAGAAACATGAGGATGCTTGCAGCAGCAGCAGCAGCAGCAGCAGCAGCTGGGGAGAGGAGGGGAGAACCAGTGAAGGCATGCATCCAAACAGAATACTGATGCATCAATCATACAGGATCAAACAGAGCTTGCATCATGCTTTCAAATTCCTCTGCAGAGCGTGCACTAAATGTTTCTCAATGACAGAGATGGAATCAAGCTGGGATGGAGACTACAACACACAGAATGGTTGCTGTAAAAAAACAAAACAAAAACAAAACATCAACCATTCCCTGAAAAGAATAACGTGGAGAAGGTAGCAGTCACACAACCAAGCAGGAGACATATCAGACAACTGAGTTTGGGAAGGTGGGGGGACAACACGAGAGCTGCGACAACAGAAATCCTGCTCATCATCTGTCGGCTCTGAAAGCCCCGCTGCTCTCTCTGAGGGGCTGCGAGCGTTCCAGCAGAACACTGGAGGGATGGAGGGTAAATCCTGAGAGCGTCTGCCTGACTGTGTGTGAGAGGAGGGACGCCAGCGTGCATGTGGGGGCTCCATGCGTGTGCCATCTCCTAACAAGCCTGCCTCTTCTCTCACTAATCTGGCAAAGATTCCCTCTCATCTGTTACACCTACACACCCCCTCTCTCCCTGCCCTGACACACACACACACACACACCCACACACACAAACACACACACAGGGAGGAAAAGAGTCAGTCGCCCGCTCTCCTTCCCAGGCACACACACATTTAAACACACACACATTTAAACACACACACATTTTGTCCATCTCTTCCTCTCTTCCCCTGCGATGTAGCCTGGCTGAAACTGGAGCCGGAGGAGAAAGGAGGACATGGAGGAAGAGATTTACCTGAGTGCAGTCTGCAGGCTGGCTGTCAGGATCGGCTGCAGCTGTGGGGGAGAGAATTAGCAAACCAGCATAGCGGCGTGCTGCTAGTCTCTTCATCAGCTGATCACTCAGAAGCAGAGCCCAGAAGGGGGGAGAATAAAAGCGCTATGTTTTCATATACAAATCAATGGGCTGGGTAAAAAAAATAAAAACATACCCATCTCCTGTCTGCAGCAGTTTTTTTCTCTGGTTCTGAGAGGCCCAGGAAAAGTCCCCTTCTGCATTGTTTTAATCTGTACTTTTGCCCAGTGTTGTAGTATTTTCTTCCCTCTCTCTATCAAGCTGGTGAAGTTATCAGCTTCATTTTTAATTTATTAAAATGCTGCGCCACATTTAAGGGTGCAGAGCTGACCAGCCTGCAGTAACACAGACAGAGAGCAGTTTACATGCAGGCATGTGGGAAAGAAATTATACAAAAAATGTTTTCAGTTATGGGGTTTTCTGTCAGGTTAAAATAAAACTAATGTTATTTTTCAGTTTCAAAAATGATTGAAATCTAACAGAAAATGAACAAAAACTCACCAAATTCCAGCGTGTCATCATTTATTAAACAAAAATAAAGCCAAGATGGAACATTAAATCCAGCCTCACTGCTTTCACAGGATTTATGAGGTTCAGTTTCATCCACGTGTTGCTGATCAAATATATTTATTATCTGATCCTCATCAAGTGGGACCATCTCTAAAAAAAGCAGTTTTGTCAGTTTGGAACATACAAGTGTGTCAACACAATGTCAAGGTGGGCTTTTGGCGGGCCAGACGGAAGTCACCTGTGGGTCATATTTGGCCTGTGGGCCTTATATTTGACAGATGGGGTCTAGTCGAAGTCCAAACCCCCATCCTGACTTTGTTGTTGTGGTGGGACCTTCAGAGATTTGAGCAGAAACATCAATGAACTGAAGAAATGCTGGAAAGAAAAGTGGACCAAACTTTCTCTACAAACACGTGAGACTGAAAGTCCTGCAGAAAATCACCACTGGCTGCTAAAAAAGGCTCTGCAAGCTGGTGAATCTGAGCCTGGACTCAGTTTTTCCAAACATCTTTTCCATATCTTTTCTTATGAACACGAACATGGTGGACTCTGATGTGTGATTTTTGTTCTCTTGGGATTAGATTACAATAATTCTAAAACCTGGTACAGACTCGATCGTTTTGATGTCCTGACATGTAAAACCCTGGAGATAAATAGAGACTGAATGGAGCTCGGAAAATCCAACAAGAGCTCGTTTATTTATTTTGAGTTGGACACTTCTGCTACTAAAATATGTAGAGCACTAAGCTCGTCCAAAAGAGCAAAATCTTAAGTGACCTTTTTGAGTTGGGTTTTATATTCAACTACATCTGGTTTCTGTGAACTCGTTTAATTTCTTTAAAGGGCCAATATTACGTGTTTCTCAGGCATATATTTAAATACTATACCATAATAAAGTATCTATGTTACCTTTAGCTGTTATTAAAATGCTGTTTCTATGTTTAAATAGAAAATAAACTTATCTTCTCATCACTTCCTCTTCTAAACGCCTTGAAATTGGCCTCTGTCTCTTTAAGAACCTCCTTCGCTTCTGTCTCACCCATTTCAGTGCGCGGGGGGGCTACGTTCACACTGCAGGCAAATCCGACCCAAATCCAATTTTTCTGGCCCATCTGACTCATATCCGATTTTTTTATGACAGTCTGAACGAGACAAATCCGATTTTTTCTAATCCGACCCAGGCCGTTTCAGTATGTGGTTTTAAATCGGATATATATCTGATGTTTTCAAAGTGACTGCAGTGTGAACGCTCATGTCACATTCATCTGACTTTTTCATCAGGAGGAGGGGGTGAAGGATCGATAAGACACTAACCTCAAGTCTCGCTGTTTAAATCTGCAGCTCCATGTGTTTACAGCTCCAAAACACAAGTCCAGTTGCTTCATCTTTTTACTTTTCATTTTCCACGTAGATAGTTTGATAATAACATGTCCAGCCTGGGTCGCGGAGAGTATCGATCCTAAAGTTCGATACTCGGTCGATACTTTTTTCCAGCTCGTAGTTTCATTAAAAAAAAAGCATCACTGGAGCATCCCGGTCAGAGGCAGGTTCAGATATAAACACTGAACTAAAGAAGCAGATCAGATAATTATTTAATCGGCTCTGATTAAACAACAACTTCCGATTCGATGCGCAAAATGTAGCATCCATGCTAGCTCTGTAAACAAACAAGCCGGCTGATGAGACGTCACGTCTTTTACTGCGCATGCGTGTCACATCAGTGCTGTGGAGCGTTCACACAGGAGTCTGATGCAGGTCACATTTAAAATGTAATGTGAACGTTCACACAAAAAGATCGGATTTTTAAAAAAAATCGGAACTGAGCATTAAGACCTGCAGTGTGAACGTAGCCTATGATGCAGTTTACTTGGCATTTGAAAATACATTTTCTCAAAGGTATGTATTTTTAATCTGAAAAGAGCTTCACTGAGTGAGAACTAATGTTGAGAGCTCAGCAGACAGTTAGGTTTCACTTTCACTTTCACCCGAGAGCCTGCAGGAGTCATGGGCGGGGTGTGTGGGGAGGGGTGGAGGGGATGCTCTCTGCCATGAGGAAGTTCAGCTTAAAGACACGTCCCAGAGGTGTTTCTGGTACCAAAAGGTGTTTCTGGTCCCCACCTGTCGTTTTGCTCCTCAGCATGGCTTCATAAAAACACTGCAGGATTTCTCAAACATGCATGAATGAGTCAAAGCAAGGCTTTGGACATGTTTTTTATGGGAGTATAACATTATAACATGATATAAAACTCAAAAAAGTTGATTTCACATGATATTACCCCAAAAGGTTGTTGTACAAAATATTAGATAAATAAAAAAAGTACATCAGGTAAGTAGTACACACCAAAGTTCAATAAAATCTGTTGCATGTTTTATTTTTTATATATGAGACAGCCTTTTAATAACTTCTAACTTATTTTAGAGTTGTAAAGAACCTCAACATCTGCAGAATGAACACACTTAACTCATTTTTCATGTGCATTAAACATGTAAGTTAAGTTTCTCTTTTTAACATTAATAAGCTGAATTTGAGCCCAAACAAACCTCCATATATCGAAGGCCATGGAATTTAAATGGCAAAATAAATACAGTAAATAAATAAAACAATTCAGTGCCTATAAAAGTATTCACCCTCTGTTTCATCGCTTTATCCCTATTATAGGTAAATGTACAGCTTCAAGTGATTGCATAAATATTTACCCCCTTTAAAATAACTGTAATTCAACTAAGAGGAAAGATTATTGAAACAATCAAATTGGGGAATGGACACAACAGGTTTTCCAAGGCCCTAAAGATCTCCAGGAGTTCTGTTAAATTCCTTAACAGGAAATGGACAGAATATGAAATGTGTAAATCTACCAGGTCATCCTCTCAAACTGAGTGACATAAAAGTAGAGGAGGAGAAGGAGCTACAATTCTAAATCTTCAATCACCGAGTTTTAGGAAACTTGTAGATCGTACAAAAAAAGAGGACAACGTTGACATGGTATGTACTGCAGTACAGTCAACATTGTATGGGAAAAGATAAATCAGAAAAAAATCTGATAGGATTTCTTTTTACAGTTTTAAGCAGAAAAAAAAATTCAAAAACAGACCAACAGTGAAGTTCTTAGCAGCAGCAGACATTTTTCACGTAGGAACAAGTAGGAAGGGATTCTAAATAATCAGTTTCTGTCAGAAGTGTTTTTAGGATTCAGAACAACTGAAGGCAAAAACAGATTGAAAAGGTTTATTAATACACTGTTTTGTGAAGAGCCCCTGGACCCTCGGGGTGGCACACAGTGAGGAGCAGAACACTGGTGAGTCTTGGAAATTGAGATGGAGGATTTGCAAAAACAGGAAGTGGTTACTGACCTTCCAACTGCAGACGAATGAGACTGGGTAAGTCCACAGATGATGTTGGTCCGAGAGGGTTCAGATCCAAGTGGAGGAGCAAGCGAGATTAGGAAAACCAGTGTAAGTCAGTCAGTCAGTCAGTCAGTCAGTCAGTCAGTAAGTAAGTAAAGTTTTATTTATAAAGCGCCTTTCACAGAAATATATTCACAAGGTGCTGTACAATCATTAACAGTATAAAAATGGTGGAAAGTATAAAATGAAACAGAAAAACATAATTACACGTAAGCAACGAAAAATTGAAACATCAAATCAGGAAATTAATTTCAAAAATTGTAAATCAAACACGTTAAAATCAGTTCAAATATACAATAATACATAAAGACATAATGAATGCAGGAGAGAAAAATATGGCAGTTCACTAATTAAAACACAGATAGTTGAGCATTCACAATGGAGGTAGGCTGGTAGTGATGGTGAAATGGTTAGCTAAAGGTTTGAGTGAAAAAGTTTTTAGGAGTGACTTGAAAGAGACATTGGGCCTCATGCAAGAACATGTTCGTATTCTTATCCTAAATTTCTCTTACTTTTGTTCG